TCCTGTATATATCCTGTGGACAGTCCCTAATTCAGTGAGGTATTTTTAGTTTTGGTTTTACTTAACGTTCAGACGTCTCTGACTGAAAGTAAAACAGAAGTGTCTATGTCAGTAAATAAAAGTACAGTCATCTGAAGCTTTATATTTGTTTCATTATTCTGAAAGTTTTATGTGGGTACATTTGTCTCACAGCTGACTTTCATGTGACGCTGTTGAAACAAGACTTTCCCACTTTGATTCTTATTCACATCTTGTTTCACTATTTTCTCATCGTTACAGTTCAAGTGAATCATTTTGCTTCACGGGGACGTTTAGGTTTCAGCCACATTATCAGCTGCTGTTCCATCAGATGCAGTAGCAGCACACGACTTGTTGTTCACATCTTGTTCACGATACGTCTGATCGAGCCTCAGTCCTCAAAACAAACACTCGTCAACTCCAGATGTTTTCTGTCCAGATCTTTGCTCACGTGCTTTTTATTTTCTCTCCTCAGGGCGGTGAAGGTCACGGCGGCCTGCCAGGCAGCGACGGTGACCCCGGAGAAGATGTGAGTTGGTCACAAATCTGTGCTGTCGTCTGGATTCATCTTAAATCTAAATGTATAAATTCCCTCATCCCGCTGTTTGATTCCTCAGGGTCCCATCGGAGTCCCGGGGTTGATGGGAGAGCCGGGACCGTTTGGTGCCAAGGTAACAAACAGTCGCTCCCTCCTCAGATGACTTGTTTCCTCTGTTTCCATCCAGTGCAACACTTTGTGTAGATAGCAGCGAATGCACTTGGGTCCCTCTGAGCAGCCATGGCTGTTTGGATCCTAAAAGCAGGTGTGCTCATCCTGAGGCAGCTTGAAGCGATTGTGCTGTTAACAACAAAAGAACCCTGGTCTGAAGTCAGTGGTGCAGTTTTTCAGTGTAGTTCAATGCTCACTATCAACGAGCGTTTGTTCCACACGTTCTGTTCCTGTGCAAAGTGAAATTCTTTCCTGTGCAGAGAAGAGTTCTCTCCAACAAGATGACAGATGTCAATTAACCCACGGTGCGAGAGATGGAGATATGGAGACACTGTTGAACCGTTAAACAAGCAAAAGATGATTTGGACAAAACCCCAGTTGTTTTGCAACATGAGCCTTTTTGCGCTGCAGATGTGTGAACGTGTCACAGCCGAGGAAATGTTTTCATATCTGTCGTACCTGCTCAGCATCATGATACCTGTTCTTTCAGGGGAGTAAAGGGGATCGAGGTGTGAGAGGTCCCAGGGGCAGAGCGGGCGCTGTGGTGAGTCACTCTGGGTTTGAACTGAAAGTTAAATAAAATGAAAAGTTACCAACAAGTTTGTCTTAAAAGTGACCTGTTTCCTCTTTCTGATGAATCTTCTTGGGGAATTCTATCGTCTATATAAAGAAAAACGTACTTACATACACAACCTGTATATCTGTATGATTTCTGTTTGTCCTGTAAGTGATTCATTCATTTTCTGTTTGTCCAACAGGGAGCTGAAGGAGAGCGAGGGGACGCTGGAGTACCAGGGAAACCAGGACCCAAGGGCCTGCAGGCCCAGCCAGTGTGTACCACCGACACTCATCACACTCCGTCCATCACTCATCACACTCCGTCCATCACTCATCACACTCCGTCCATCACTCATCA